ATTTGATGAGAGCAGATCAGCATCATGCCATGTGTGCACGCGATCCTATGGGGGAGAGACTCAGAGGCAGGCTGGGCTGCGATTCAGAGAGAACCCACAGGGTGTCCCGTGTGTCAGACCCCCGTGCCTGCCTGAGCTCTGGGGAGTGGGCACATGATTTGGAGACAGAAGTGAGTTTGTGTGTGTGAAAGCTTTGAATGTGAGTGTTAGTGTCCGCAGGGACTCTTCAGTACCTGCAAGCATTCTCTGCTCTCTAGAGGAGGACTGAAGTGCGGGGGATGTGGGCGCAGGGCTGGGACTGCACGCCATTGGGACAACTTGGCAAACAGCGGCCGGAAGCAAGGGGCAGCTGAGCAAATGGCTCCAGCAGGCTGAGGACCTGGGGTGATGGATAGCAGATAGGAAGAGGGAAGGGCTGGAGGTTTGTTTGGTGGCTTGGGAAGCATTGGTGCCTTACACACTTATGCTGAGGCACAGCGGGGCTCTCCACTCCTAAGCACATGACAGACCACTCAGCAGGAGTCCAGGAAGCCACATAGGGTGGGAAGAAGGAAAACCGATCGCGATTGCACAGAATCCCCCATTTGGGCCTGAGTCTTCTTCTAAATCTCTACCTTGTTATGGGACAGGTACATGGTTACTAAGGACACCACACTGTCAAAATGGGACTATGGCCCCCATTTCAAAGGTGAGTACGTTGAGGTGCTAAGAAGTTACTTGCCCTTGATTCTACAGCATGGAATTGGCACAGCTGGAATTGAGTTCTGACAAAGTTCTTGCTATCACTTCTATCTCTGACTTCCCGGGAGTTCTGCCCCTCAGAGTAATTCCAGCCCGGAATCAACAGTGATGCACGTTGTCAACCCTCCAAGCCTCCACTGGATGGGGGTTGGGGGTGGGGAGGTCTCGGGTCAGACTTGAGGAGCCAGGATTCCCTGCTTCCTGGATCTTGCCCTGTAAGAACGCAAGCTAGGGACGGAGTGGGGCACATGTTCAAAACCCGTGCAGCGGAACTGCACCGGTGAAATTTACCATGACATCAAACTGCCCTCAACTTCCTGCTCACTTTATAAGGATGTTCCTTCTTGGTCCCATCCCTCTCCCTCCCTCCACTTGCATCAATGACCTCAATGCAAATACAAGTGGGATGGTCCCGCTGAATGTTCTAGGTTCTAGACGCAAATGGGTGACACAATCCATCTGGGGTACGTGATCTTTTCCCTCATTGGTTGCTCAGAGCTCCTGGACACCCCCCCGCCCCCCCCACCCAGACCCAGAGCGGCGGGAATAAGAGCAGCTGCTGGTGCTGGGAGGCAGCCGAGCCACTGCTCTGCTCAAGTGTCCCTGACACTTCCACAGCGCCATCGCCCGACGCCAACGCTACCGCAGCTGCCACCGCCTGGGCTCCAAGCCACCTGCTGCCTGCTGCCAGGTGAGCCCCGAGATTCCTGCCTTCGCTGTATGATTCTTTCTCTCCCTCTTCTTCTCTCCCTCTTCTGCATTAGTTGTTCTTGTATCCGCTCTTCCTGCCCATCTTTGAGTCTCTGGGCACTTCTGTCTGGGTCTCTTCGTCACAAAATCTGTTACTCCGCTATTCAAACCCCAGGTACACTGAGCTGTCTCAGTTCGGAGACTTCCCGCTTTAATCTTTCCATCAGTCTCGCTGTCTCTTGCTACACTTGCGCTTAGGACGCTGGAGCTCCGCAGGCACTGTGCACACAGTAGGACACAAGGGTGCTCACGGGATCATGTCTTGTGCCTAGTGGTCCCCCGGGAAATCGGTTCGGAACCTGGACCAGCGCCAGTGGGTGGCAAATAGGTGCAATGACTAGGGGCCGGCAGCCCAGGAAGGAAAGCCCCAGTAGTGAGTCCTGGGAGCTTTTTCCCTGGTTTCCAGGAGACTCTGCTAAACTTGGTTCTTGCAGGGGATTCTCTACTAGAGTGCAGAGCAGGTGAGCAGTAGTATTTGTTTCTTCAGTTTCCCTAAGATTCCAATGGGACAGATACTCCCTTTTTAGCTAACCCCCCCCCCCCCCCGCCCCCCACCATGGCCAGATATGATCCAAAGCCCTACACAGGGAGTACAGCTCTGGGTAGGAAACAGGAGATTGTCCCGGGATTGTCTTCAATGGAGACCTGGCCAGCAGGTAATGTAGTGTGTGAGGTGGTGGGGAGGGGGCTATGGACTGAGTCCTCTTTCCCCAGTTGTCCTGCTAGGATAGCTTGCTTCAGTCTCACTGGATCTTCCCACAGTCCACTTCCCCAGTGAGGAAACACTGGGGAAAGGAATGGCATTACCAGCCTGAAGCCACCATGCCAGGGAGTTACAGGTAGAAAGAAGCAGGACCAGAGTCCAGGTTCTTGGGCTCATGGAACTTCAAACTGGTGCAGAAAATGACATTATTTTTCCCTTGCAGAGAAGCGCCATGGGCTTCTGGAAGTTCTCTCCTCTCCTGATTCTTGGCATCTTGGCCCTGTACCAGGTGGGCATGCTCCAGGCAGCACCATTCAGGTAAGCCAGCCCTGCCTGGAGGTCACTCCTCTCCCACTCCTCCTGGGATCAGACAATTCCATTCTCAAAATTGTGGTGTGCTAAAAGTTTACCAACTGGTGAGCTGGGCAAAGGGGAGTGTATATTTTCTGATATAAGGTGTGTAGCACATAATTGAAAAACAGCACTGATATACAATATTCTTTATTATAAATTTCAGATAACTCATTGATCTCACAGAATGCTTCTGGTGCTTTTACTAGGAAGCCTGGGTGCTTATCTTGGGAGAGACAGGGAGCGACCCAGAGCTTCTATTGTTTTCTTCCCCTCCCCAGGTCTGCTCTGGAGAGTCCTCAGGACGCTGCTATGCTCAATGAGGAGGAACTGCGCCTCCTGCTGGCTGCAATGGTGAAGGACTTTGTGCAGAGGAAGGCCAGTGAACTGCAGCAGGAGCAGGAGACCGAGGGCTCCAGGTGAGGATCCCCACTCCACTTGGCTCAGGGCATCCCCTCCCTCCTGTCCTGCCAAGGAAGGCATATCCTAAGAGTTAAGACGGAACACGGCTGGACAGGAGGCCAGCACACTGCCATGGCTCTCCTCGGCCTGGGGCCCAGCTATTCTCACGCACCACTGAAAACAGAGGTCCCACACAGAGACTATGGTTAGACCACATGTAAAAAGATCCATTTCTGAAAGCAATTGGGGAAGATATGAAATCCCTCCCTCCGGAAACTGGTCTGAAAGCACTGAGGAGACTTCCCAGCATTGGAGGAGTTAGGACTGGTAAGTGTGAGGCCAGCAGATGGACCCCACAGATCCCAGGAGATTTTAGAAATTGGTTTCTCCTTGTAAACCTGCACTTGACGTTCTCTCGAATCCACATGGAGCCTTCATTGCACATTTGCAAGGTGAAGCCAAAGGCCTTGCAGAGGGTGGGGTCAGGTAGAGCAGTACCTGAGGTAGGTCTGGGGGCTTGAGATGTGTAGGATCTGTGGAGACGTGCATGTTGTCATGGGGCCAGAAACACTTCCCCGGCCCCACCTCCCCGTGTCCCCTGAGCCTGGAGCTCACGCCAGCCCCTGGCCTGGCCCCGGCACTGCCTGGCATGTGCTGCACCTGCATCTACCCTAAGGACCTCTCTGCAGAGCAAGAAGGACTGAGCGGCATGCGGAAGGCTAGGAAAGGGCACCCCTTCCCCGCTGCAACCCTGCCCCACGCTGCCCTGGCTCAGCAAACCTCGGAGTTCTCCTAATGGAGGATGTGTGAGCTGCCCTCCTGCCTGCCCCTCCTGCCCCCACTCAGAGTGCCCCCTCCCTGGTCTAACCTTCTGAGCGATCGCCACAGGGGCAGACCCTGGTGCATGGTACCACCTGGCATGTCTTTTCCCTGCAGCCTGGACAGCTTCCGAGCTAAGCGGTGCAGTAATCTGAGCACCTGTGTGCTGGGCACATACACACAGGACCTCAACAAGTTTCACACGTTCCCTCAGACTGCAATTGGGGTCGGAGCACCCGGCAAGAAAAGGGTCATGGCCAGCAGCTTGGACAGAGACCACGGCCCTCACGATGGCATGATCCAGGATGCCGATTAAACCCCTCCCTCTCTTTTCTAATGTCCTTTCTTCCTTCCTTCCTATATCATGATACATGTGGTCCTCTCGGGTTGCTGGTATCGGTGGCTTTCTTTATGGCAGTGGATGTCTGGAACCTCAGATGGGAGGAGAGCAAGAGGAACAGGCCAGAAGAGAATCACGCAGGAAGAGATGGGGGGCAGCCCTGTGCTTCCCCTGAGGAATCACAGCACGGCTTCTCAGTCCTGCTTGTGAATGTGTTTGCCGATGGGGAATAAAAGTATATTTCTCAAAAGACCTGAGCGGTGGTGGTTATTGCTCTGGCCCACACCACAGGCTTCCCAGATTCAGGGACCTGTGCTTAGAAGTAGCCTCAGCCCTGTGGTAGCTGGGTGCAGGGTGGAGTAGCTAGTCCTTGGACCAACCTCAAGTAGGAAGAACAGGAGCAGTAAAGAACAGGTAAGCACCTAGGGGACCCAATGCTGTAAAATCGCCTTTTCTTCCAGGTAAGTCGGGGAATTTTTGTATTTCTAACAAGGGATATTTGATGCCTTTGAGTGGGATGTGACTTCCAGACAATCCTCATGTTAGGATCAGTTTGGGGCCATAATTCTCTGTGTCTCATAAGCCTTTCTTGATTTGCAGTTTATTTATACAGGAAAGACAGGCTGTTACAGCTCTGTGTTCCATGGTCACTCACCCGGAGCCACCTTGGGTTTTCTGACACCCCTGTGGGAGTGATCATGGCATTTTCCCCAAGAGCCTGTGTATTTCTGCAGTGATAATTGTGATTGAGGAAAGATGTAACGTTAACTGGTGCCTCTTAGAGCAGCAATTTTACCATGAGTAACCCATGGGGCAGATGGGATCTCTCTTACATAGCCTCACTGATGGGCCTCTTTCCCTCCATCCTGCAAATCAGCATCACTGTCCGGAAAAGCTCCTGCAACTCTGCCTCCTGTGTGATCCATCAGTTGGCAGGCTTGGTAGCCAGAGCTGAGCATGTGGTGAAAAACACCTTCAGTCCCACCAGTATGGGCTCCGAAGCCTTTGGCCATCACCACAGCGAACTTGAGCTTGAGCAGTGTAATGACTTCAGAAAGGTGGCTGCCCTTGTACCATCATATGGGAGAAGGAAAACTGGGTATTGCACGGGTGCAGTCCTCACTTTAACTCTCTGTGGGCCTAGATATAGATATAGATATAGATATAGATATAGATATAGATATAGATATATCTCTATATATATATCTGCTCTAGAGAATGTGCCCCCTCCAGTGTCTGGAGAAAGAACAGACTCCCAGTAGCTGAAACCCCTAGATCTGGGTTCATTTCTCTGCATTTCCAGTACTCCCTGTGACACTGAGATACCTGGGTGGCTCAGTTAAGCATCTGACTCTAGTTTTTGGCTCAGGTCATGTTGTCACAGTTGGTGAGATTGAGCCACACATCCGGCTCTGCCCTGACAGCACAGAGTCTGCTTGGGATTCTCTCTCTCCTCTCTCTGCCCCTCCCCCCACTCCCATGCCCTCCCTCCCTCCCTCTCTCTCTCTCAAGAAATAAGCAAACTTAAAAAAAAAGTAACTTTTCAGGGTGGGAAGGAAATGTCAATAAGAGGGGTATAGCCAGCACCTAGAAGGTTTTGTTTCATTGTATAGGCTACACTGTTAGTATATATTAATGAATGAATAGTATATATGAATGAATAGGTCATTATATTTGTGTTTAGTAGGAAAAATGCCTTAAATATGGGTCTTTTGTTTTAAGGCAACTACCATAAATTATTTCAAACACATAAATTTTAAATACAAAAAGAGGATCTGTTCTGTTCAATGGATAGTAGGAAAAAGACCCCCAAAATATATAACAAATGCACAATTGAGAAAAAGATGTCAGTAATAAATACTCATATAGCTTTAGAATAGTGGTATATTAAAGTCATCAATTAAGAGCCAAGACTATCAGGCTGCATCATTTTAAAGGATCCAAAATGTTTTTTCCACAAAAGAAACATTCAGAACAAAAGGACTCAGAATTAATTAAAACAAATGGGTAGTAGAAGATAAGTTGAAGTAAGTTCATAATATATGATTATAATAGAATTCAAGGCAAAAAAACAGCTTATTAGAAATGGAAAGGTGTTATATAATGGGAAAAAGAACCAAATGGCAAGAAGATATATTGATAATAGACACATGTATTCAACAACATGGCCTCAAATTATGTGAAACAAAAACTGACCAAACTGCAGGTGAAATATGTATATCAAGAATTTTTACTATGGAATTAATAATGTACACCACTCAATTAGCCATTAGCTTTCGGAATCCCCTCCAAAATGCATGGCTCAAAGTTGGCTCTGCAAATACCCCCTGACGATATGATAGATTTAAGAAAACATACAGTGTTTACAACCACAAAGGGGTGATAGAGTTTATTAATAAGATTATGACTACTTTTCACAAAACCATTTATTAAATAAGTCAATGTCTCATATTGATTTGTAACACTACTCTTACATGCTAATATTCTTCTGCCCTTTTCTCCTGTATTGATAATCACCTATGTTAGTAATACACTTTTATTACTAGTAGAACAAAGGTACTTTATACTTCTCTTTTTCGAAATGCTCTTGGCAATTTTTGCACATTTATTCTTCCAGAAGAAAGTTAGAATTTGCGGTTTGGATTTTTTATGGCATTGGGTTTTCTAGGTAGACAATTGTGTCATCTGTAAATAATAGTAAATCTTAGTTCACATTTTTGTTCTTTTTGTATCATGTAGAACTTCCTGACAATGTTGAGATAAAAATGATAATAGGTACCCTTGATGATGAAGGCTATTGATTTCAAATGGAACTTCTTCATCATCTTAAGAAAGTATCTTTCTTTGGGGCACCTGGGTGGCTCATTCGGTTAACAGCTTCGGCTCAGGTCATGATCTCCCAGTTCATGGTTTGAGCCCCGCATGGGGCTCTGTGCTGACAGCTCAGATCCTGGAACCTGCTTCAGATTCTGTGTCTCCCCCTCTCTCTGTCCCTCCCCCACTCGCGCTCTGTCTCCATCTCTCTCTCAAAAAATGAATAAACATTAAAAAAAATTAAAAAAAGAAAGTATCTTTCTTCTTATTGTATACTACCAAGAGTTTTTAAAGATCATAAATTAATATAAAATATTATCAAAATATCTTTTGGTACTAACCACATAATCTTATGGCTTTTCTCCTCTTAATGATAATACATTTCCAGGCATAAAAACTAATAATAACATTTAATATATTTGAGTGCTTACTACATGCTAGGCTGTAATAAATGATTCACAGAATTGACTCCTTTAATCTTTACAGCTGCATAAAGTAAATAGTGTCAGAGTTCCATTTTATGAAGAAACTGAGATATAGGACATGAAGCAGGTTGACCAAAGTCACACAGATAGCCATATCAAGATGCAAACCTGTTCCTAGGCTATCTGGCTCCATAGTCAGGTGTCTTAAATCATTACATTGCTTCTTCATGAACTCTACTAGGTGAGAGGATATGTATTAAAATACACTTGCAAATTCAATGCGCTTATGATTTATTAAGGATTTTGTACCACCATTGTTAAGTTTAATATTGGGGCTATGCTAATGTCATCAAATGAGTTTGCAAGCTTTTGAACTTTTAATGCTTTAGGTTAATGTAAGGAGTATGAAAACTATCTGAGCTTTAAGTTTTATATAATTCACCTGTAAAACCTTCTTACAGAGTTCCTTTAGGTTTTAAGTTTTCTCAGAGTTCTTAAGGTTTTTAAATTCTGCTGTGGTTATTCTATTCTATTGTTATTCTATCTATCCTACATTTACATGTATCTTCATGAAATTTGTTATTTAAATTTCTTTGCATATATTAGCAAATTGTACTTTTTTATTATAATTTAAAATCTTCACATTTGACATTGTATTTTTCTTCTCATTCTGGATGCGGTGTATCTGTATTTTCCCTTTTCCTTTCCCTCACTTACTTTACCAGAAATTTCTATTTAATTGAAATTTTCAAGACTGAGCTTTAATATTTTCCAATTCTACCATTTCCTTGTTTTTAATTCACTAATTTCTTTGCTGACCACTCAATTCCCTTCTCCCAGATAATTGTTGAAAAGTTTGTTGAGCAGGTCTCTCCCTTGATTTCTGAGTTGAATTATTAAGTTAAACTGCATGTATTTTGTCTCGATTACTTGTATTTAACCACTTCTTCGACCCCCCGCTGACTCCTTCCTGATCCAAGTCTCCATTATGTTTTACATGAACTGTAACAACAATCTCCCAACTGATCTCCCTGTTTCTATCCTCTTTATATAGACAATTCTGGAGTGATCTTTTTAACATGTAAGTCATATTGTGTCTATCCCCTGGTCAAAACTTTCCAGTCTCCCCATCTCACTCAGAATAAAAGTCAGAATCCTACAGT